TATATATATATATATATATATATATATATATATATATATATAAAACCTAAAAAAAAAAATTATTTTGTTTCATATCCTCTACATGCAAAATTTTAAAAGGCTTAGAAACCTATGTCAAGCAGCAACTGAGTACAAAGGTCATAACTAGTAGAGATAATTGTTTGCTTTAATTATTTATTTACTGTTCTATGTTTTAAGAAAAATTCATTAACATAGATTATGACATACTTTATGTTAAACTCCAAATTATAACAAAGTTTTGACTAGTAGCAAGGTAATTTTAGCTGTACAAAGCTGAAAATATTATACTGAGTTCATCTTTCATACCCAGTTAGTACTTTCTGTTAACTTCATGATTAGCTTCACTTAACACATTATCAATACTTTATAAATGATATACTTTAAAAGTTTCTCTTTAAATTGTAGGTTCTATTTGCTGAATGTCTTTACTTTTGTGTTAGATTAGTTGGAAGTCTGTTGTTGAAATGCTATTATACAGAGTATGTTCTATTAAAATGATTTTGGAGTCTCACCAAATTATTACAGCTCACGTTGCCATATCTGGTCAAGCATTATCTGATGGCCCATTGTAGTTTCCAATACAAAAGGCTCTGCTTTATGGTTATCATGACCAAAGCACATCACTCTTTCATGTTGGTTTCCATATACCATCTAGTGAGTAAGGGTAATGATTTCCCAGTGCACTTTTCAACCATCCAATTCCACAGAAATTCATAAGTCCTGCATCTGGCAGATTGACCAGTATGTATTTGTATAGAATAGCATGATTACCCATTTCATTCACCAATTACTTGAGATATGTGATAGTTGAGTGGATATGTTGTGTAAGCAACTTGTGTATACATGACTTATATCACTTTTACAGATGGAGATACTTCTTGGTTATGTTGCCTGTGATATGTGGACAGCTTTTGTTACCAACCTTTGTGTGTACAAGGATTGTCATGTATTATAAGACAGCACATCTGGTGATATGGCTTGTTACAGTTCTTTGTTTGGATAATTCTGACCCCCCCCCCCCAAGTTGATAAATATTCCTTAGTTTTTCCAATGTCATTAGGTTCAGTGGCTATCTTCAGCTTCTAAATTTGAAATACCCAAACTGAACACATTTATGATTTGAGTGTATGAGTATTTTGTGTTGGAAAGTGTTGTTACATATCTTATATCTTTCCACAAAGAGCTCAATTTTTGGTACCTACAAAACACCAACAATGTCAGAACTTAGTTCTGTTACACGATGTCCCAATGTGACTTTATTAGCAGCTGTAGTTTCCATGTTAATTGCTAATTGTCATATTTGAAACACTTTTCTTGAACATACTCAACCTCCTGTGTTTTTCATACTGAAAACTAGTATAGAGCAAGTAAAGAGAGATTTGATAAATATACATATGCTTATCTCACATTTTTATGTAGAAAGCCCTGGATATACTGCTTTTACTTTTTATAGATTAATACATAATTAGTAAGAACCACAATTATATAAAACAGGAACTCCATCCAGTAGTTTAAACTTTTTTTTCTTTCGGGTATCATCCTCTTGTAGTGATTTTTCTCTAAATGTTTCAATTTTTCCACATGATTGGATATTTGAATTAACGTTGTTCATTCTAGTGTTTTAGAATCAATAATAATAAAAAGTGTAAAAAAGTTTTTCGTATAATGTGTTTTTTTGTTAGATGTTTCAGATACCTACCTAAGGATAGCGTCCATTTTTCTTCAACTTGCCACAACTGATGCAACTGACCTGGAGAGGTATGAATTGGCAAGTTTATTCTGTGTGTTTAATTTTAAAAGCTGGTGAAGTTTAGTTGTTGTCCTGATTAATGCATGTTATTATCACATGCTTTAGAATTTTATATCTCGGAATATTTTATTAACTTTTTTGAAATCTAGATTTTGCACGTGAGTTAAGTTTTTAATTATCATGATGGCTTATAGAAATATATATATATTTGTGCCTATTTTTCAGTTATGTAAGTAATAAAATGAAGATAAAATGCACTTTATAAACTAAGGCTTATAACAAATTTTAGCTTTTTTTTTTGTCTTCAAAGAGCTAGATAGTGAAGAAAACCTTCATTTTTACTATCATAATACTTGCTTTACAGAGTATTAATGCTTTGAGTACATGAATAATGATAAAAATGGTAATAAGAAGCAACAAAGTATAATACAGTACATGCAATGAGTAATGTTAGAAAGTATTTAGTTTTGATTTTAATCATTCAAATTATAAGGTTAAATTTATTACTGTAATTAGGCTGCTATTTCTTTTTAAAATAATCTGTAATGGATTGAGCAGTGCTCTCTTTTAAAGCAGCATTATGAAGAGTCTGATGTATATTTAGTATAACATTTTATGTTAAAAACAAGCACAAAATGTTTGGTGTTTTTTTTCTAAAATTTGATTTTTGTTAATGAAAGTTTTCAGTATAAAGGAATACTTGTCTTATTTTTGTTTATAAAAAATAACTTGAGAATCTTACAAAAAAAGTATTTCTAAACATTTTGTTACAACCTAAGTTATAATAAAGTTTGAAACAACTTACCCTAACTTTTTCAAGTGTTTCTGAAGATTTTGTAAATATCCTAAAACAAAATGATAAATTCATAAATGAGCTGCCTTAAAAGTGCTTAAACAACGTATTCTAAAATTTAGATTATAAAATGCTTAATGAGACAAACAAAAAATTAAAAGTACTGTATTATTGTACATTTAGGGCAGACAAAAATATGTTAACCCAAATTTATAAAAGCATTAATTGTGTTTGGTAGGAAGAATTATATTAAACTGAAACTGAAGTGTTTAAAGTTTATGTAGTATACATTTTCTAATCTGAAATTATTCAAGAAATGTATGTGTAGGTTCGACAAATATTCATGTGTGTTGAGTGAACTTATTTTCAGAGAAAGAAAATATGTTAGACATAATATTTTTTTCTGGGAATACAGAGATAGTTGGTTATTATGAGGAATTTTATGAAAATTAGAAAAAAAATGAATTCATAAACCTACTCTAGAATGTTTTAGTGCCAATATGGATTGGAATGTACTCCATGTTACAGAAATCTTTTACTTTTGTATGGTATTGATATGAAATTATTTTATCAGCACAATCATTCTTGTATCGAGATGTAATGGCAGTATGCACAAACTATGTGTAAACCAAATTTCATTTGGTGTAATCATAGTCTACTTTTTTTTGGTTTTCTTAGTTTCATGGTAACAGCATATCTTAATTGTACTATAATTTTACTGTTAGTTGCTTAAAGGACAATGTGAGACTTAATATGACTTTTGAAAATTTTGTGTACAAAAAACAAACAAAAGTTAATCACTAGTGAAGATCTTATTGTTAATTTTTACTTTTTAGAAAGTTGAGGGTCGGATAGCATCCGATGAGGACTTGAAGTTATCTGACACACTTAGATATTACATGAGGGATACTTCTGCAGCAAAGGTGTTTCCTGATTTTATGCTTTAACCTTTTTGTGAATTTTTTTTTAAATATTTAAAATAAACAATATATGAATTGACATCTTTTAGATAGATAATATAAGTTTTACTTGGTAATAGATTAATTTAACTGTGTAAAAAACAAAGGAAGTACAACAGTTTTGTTTGTTTGTTTGATTTGTATTAGTCATTTCTTATAAGAATAGTCAAATTTGTGAAAGGTTTTTAACACTCATTCTTAGTTGAGAAGGTGTTTATTTTTTATTCTCAAGGTTTAATGAATTTATGTAATTTAAAAAAACTGGAGTGTGTGTGTGTATATGTTTATATATATATAATCATTAAAGATGCATATGACATTGAATTACATTGTAACTTGCACTGCTGTGAGTCAGCTTCGTGCATTAATAAAATCCATCATTCTAAGAACCATTACGAAGATGCCTAGTTTCTTATGCTCTCTGTTCTTGTTTCATTAAGTTGTCATATGAAATACTTTTTCTTCTAGTTAATCTTTTGAAGTGACTGGATTTTCTGTTAAGTCATTGAATAAAAAATTCATTCAGTGACAACTCCAAGCTGCTGAGTGTATGAGTAGACTACAGCAAATGTTTTCCAATTTTTATCCTCTGTAATTAGTTGTATATATTCCTATCACAGGTAGAGCGTATACTCAGATCCTGATCTCCACTTAGATGGTGCACAGACCCTGGTGGTGACAAAAGTAATGTTGTTAGGACTTTGCCACTTACCAAATTTTTTTTCCACAGTTCATGATATGTGTATTAGTGTTCTCTCTTGTACCACTTGTAGAATGCATACATAGTTGTTAAATACACTAGATTTATTGTGTCCCATTTCAGTCTAAATTGGTATATTGAAATTCAGTCTGTGCAACCAGACATTCTGCATTAAAAGTATGAGTCTTTGATTCATTACGAGTCTTAGCTTAGCCAAGAGTCTTTTCACATTCCTTCAGTCCATAGTATATACACAGACTTCTATGAACTTCTGTTCCTTGCTGTTTGCAACTGTTTTTACAGTATGCTGTGAAACTGTAATCCCTGACACTACATTTCGTATGACAGTGTGTTTTTAGGCTTCATGAGTCATGCCTTTTTTTGTGTGCAAATATATAGTATACCAATTCCACTTTGGCCTTTGAATGTGATGGGTCTGACTTTGGATACATTTGATCAACATATTATTTTATGGCTTGCTATAATACGTCTGTTGTGATCTTTCTTTGAATCACCTGTAGAAGTCTGACATACTTGACTGGAAATGTTGTCTTCTGTTTATGGAACTTCTCTCAAGACATTCTTTCACACGTTTTTTTTTTAAGATGGCTCAAAATCAGGTGACTGTCTGGGTTCTGTAATGGTTTACTGTGGCTCTGTCAATGCTCATAAAATTGTTTCAGGCTTCTACTTGTTAACTGCGTGGATGTGTGAAATCTCACTCTTGATTATATAGAAACTGGACAGTGCTATTAATGTTAATCTATATGAACTTACATAGACGTTTTGACGGTTGTGGAATCACTTTACGTTAGCTTCCATTCTCTTTCATAAATTCAAAAACAAATTCCAATTTATGTTTATTATGTAATTTTTCAAGTTTTTCTGGAAACCTGATTGTTGGAATCTGTAGGATAAGCTGGCTGATATGGCAAACAAATCAGTCTTCCCTGACACTGTTGAGCTTCTGTCCATTTCATATTTATTGGCATTTATTGAATATTGACTCAAAATTCCCAACTGCTCTCCTCAATTGTAAATAGCATTGTGGCCCACATGCCACGTGATTTGGGGAAATCAATGATACAACTGTACCAGATAAAACCAGAAGTGAAATACTCTTCATTTAGTTTGTGTATGACTTGTAGTAGGAAAGCTGTTTTGACGAAGCTTCACATAACTTTTAGCCTATTAACACATTGTATATGTTGCAGGGTTGTGACTAGTTAATATGTATACCTTGTTCCACAGCCTTTACTGTGAAACACACTTCACTTTGCTGCTATCATTTTGATGTTCAACAGCAGAAGCATTTGAAATGTGTTATAATGCCCTTTGTATGCTGGATGCTCACTGGAAAAAATTATGCACTATTCAGTTTGATAATGCCTTTACCTTCTTAAGGGACATAGATACTTGTTGTTTTATCTTTATATACCCATATAAATTGTTATGCTGTACAAAAAACAGTTTTGATGCATATAACCAAATGCATTTTGCACCATAACTCATAACCTTGATCATCTGTGATTGTGAGTCTTGTTCATTGTTGATACAGGTGTATTTCTTTAGAGTACATTAGCCATCATGTTTGGCTTAGAGAGCCCAGATGAAATTTTATATTATTTTCTTTTAGCTTATATTACAGCTGTAAAATAAACATGCAAAAAGGAAATGGAAACAGCTTATACTGAATGTAATGTATAGTGAATTTTGAGTGATACAGAAATATTAAAACTCTTAAAAATTATTTATTTACATGCTAGAGGAGTTTAGAACCCTCTTTTACTTTATACCTTATTAATTATTGTGCATTAATTTTTGTATTATAACTGTTGTTATTTTTAACATCTATTATTAAGGTGCTTACAATTTTAAGATCCAAGTTAAATATTTTCTGCACATTTAACTTGTGAAGCTTATGCCTAATAAGTTTTTGAAACATCGTGATCATGTTTAATTATTCTAGAATCTACTTTATCGACGACTGAGAAGTTTGGCAAATTATGAAAATGCTAACAGAATTCTTGACAAAGCTCGTAGCAAAAACAGGGATGTACAAGAGGTGCATATGTTTTCATTTGATGTTACTATTTAGTAAAATCTAGTTTTGTTGTAATTAAATTGGATAACTCGTAACATATGGTAAAATATAATGATAGTTGACTGTTTGTAAGTGTGTTAGTGCATGGTATTTGTAATACATTCTTTTCTGTTTAATTGAGAATATTTAAAGCTTTATTGCAATTTGTATGGAGAAGCTATAAATATTTATCAGTGCATATAAATACTTTGTATTTTTGTATGTTTACTGCTGTAAGACCTATTATTGATGTGATTGTTCTGGATGTAGGCTGAGAACAATCAGCAAGAAGCATGTGAAAAGTTTGAAAACATATCAAAACAAGCTAAACAAGGTAATAACATTCTTTAAGGTAGTTAATTTTAGAAGTTGTAGTCAAATTGAAGAGTGTACTAACATTTTATTATATGTTACTGCAAATGGGTAGTTGTTTATTAAGCAAAAACGTTTTTATTAATATAATAAGATTCAGCTTTCTAGCAGTTCTCTGATGACTGAGTCCCACCATGTGTTCCAGTCAGATGGTTATGTTATGTGTAACTTGAAACTCATCCCCTCCTCACTATCACATAAACACTGTTTGTTTTACTGTTGATTTTTAAAATTGACCCCATGAGAAGCATAGGTTCATTTGTTACAATTTTCACAAAATTTATCTGTTAGGTCTGCCTTCTTGAATTCATGATGGGGGATTTGTACTCCTAACATTATCTGTAGTGAATTCATCAATGTACAATGAAGTGAAAGATTAAAAAAATATGAAATCAAATCAAAAAATACCTTTTTTATAGAATGATTGTAGATTCTAACAGACATTTATAATTATCCTAAAAGCTTTAGTTTTCTAACTTTTTGACATGTATTCGTTTAGTTTCATTGCTTTATTACTATACCTTGAGCCATCTTCAGTACTATGACAGCCAATGTATCATCTGGAGGGAGACCTAGAGTTGAGGGTAAACAAAGTATCACATTACGTCATGTGATGTGAAACCATTATATTGTGTACATTCATTCTGGAGTGATCACATTATATATTTTGTTCATTTAAGTTTTTGTATTTAACATAATAAGGTTTTAATTTTTACATTTTATTTACTTTTGTTAAAAAATGTATAACAATAATTAGAAAAGAAACATGAAAATAAATTTAGGACGTATTCAGCCTTGTGGCCTTTTTCACTCGTGTGTGTTGTTCAGTAAGCCTATTTTTTCACTGTGTTGGTTGTTCAAAGAACAGTTGATACAGAGTTTTGTAGAACAGAAAGTTCAGAATATGCTATTTCTCTTGATTATAAACATGTTCAGTTCCAATGTCAGAGAAAGAGAGAATTAAAGACATTTCTTGAAAGACAAAGGATATGGGAGGGACATTTCTTGCGGGTTAAACAAATTTAGTGATGTCTTAGTGAAGCAACAAGAGGTTGACATTTTATATTCTGGCTTGTCAATATTCCAAGGCCTTTAAAAAAAAAAATCTATAAATGAGATGTTGTAGTGCCACTATGCATCACGTAACTCAGGTGCAGGTTGAGAATTTATTTAAATATTTCTTTTTGAAACTAAGAAATTAACACTTAGATAATATTAACATTTGAGGTATTAACTATGTTGTGATGTGAAGTTTATTAATATGTATTGATAATAAAGTAGTTTAAATTTTGAATGCAACTCTGTAAAAAAGGTTGTGATATAAGAACTTTTACCCTGCTGTGTGCATAGAGTTAAAATTTATATTTGAAAGCTTCATGAATTATTTGTTGAACACCCAAGTTTGTGAGACTCTTCAAGCCTTTGGTAGAATGTCTAATTGAGTGCAAACTGCATCATGTACACATTGAGTACTATAAATTCTTGATTTTTATGTATTATTTTATTTATTGTTGTATATTTTTTAACAAAAGTAATTAAAATGTAAAAATTATAAACATTTTAGCTTGGCCTGAGAAACTTTGGTAAATTAAGTTATATTACACTAGCATGAACATGTGTAACAGGACACCTCACAATCACATAATTTTTATATTAGCTCTATGGAAAACAGCTGAAAGGCTCCCACTAGAATTTATTCGTGTTTACGAACAGTAGTCTAATAGAAGTTGGCCCAACAATAAAACCATAATTAAAAGAAAACAGGTATGAAAAGGTTAGAAGTTGAAGCTGTTAAAATTACTAATTTGGTTCTTTCTGATTGATACTTCACTCAGTGCAGATGAAAAAATGGTATTATTCATTTTATTTCATGTTTTTCAATATTTCATTTCACTATACATTGATGATTTTGCTAAAATTAGTGTTGGAGTATGGAAAATAAGAGATTTAAGTTTTACTGAAAAAGCTTGATTTTCATGTAGGAGGTTCTTGAGTCTGTAAATGAAATATGAAAAAGTGTAAGATAAAATCTTTTTTTTTTTCTTAGCATGATAATCACCTATCATTCAGACTGTCTTAGTAATGGCTTCATGAATTCACAGATTTTTTTGTGTGTACAAAATACATGTAATGTTTACTAAAAGCTTGACAAATTTCATGAAGATACATCAAGTAAATTCGGAATTATAGTAAAAATTATTATGTATAGCTTCACAGGAACAAGGTCAATCAGTTTGACTGAAACCATGAAGACAGGCTAAAATGCCCAGGAAGATGTACATTTGTTCTTGGGTGTAGTACATTGGGCTTGTCACTAGCTACTTCACTTGTATGCATCATTTCTGCTTTTGCTACTGTGCCAGTAGCCATTTCAGTTGAACTGATAGCTGAACATCCATAGTTACAGACTCACTGGTACAACACTTCCATTCTGACAGAACACTGCTTGAGCAAGTGTATCTTGCTTCTGAGAGAGAAAATAGTGTTTCATGCAATTGTTATATTACAGCAGCTCATGTTAATAACAACACTAGACTAAACTGTGTCCATAATACACCACACAATACCATTTGTGCATTGTGATTTCACTTTTCTTCTCAACATTTGTGTGTGAAGTCCAATATTTTTGGAGTCAATCTGATCGGCACTTTGATGATTTTGCAACAAAACTGTAGATCACTTATTCCACTGACTGATAATTTCTACAGTAAGTTTATCCTTAAGATACAATTGCCCAAACCCATGTCAGAAATAACATTAATTTGGCATGCAACTTTGTCACGTGGAAGTCAGAAGATATGCCTCATTATGTATTTTTAGTTTATTGCTATTTGCTTAAATGAAGTTTGTGTTAACTGGCCAAACAGGTGATTTTTTTGGTATGCTGTAGTAACTGTTGTAGTTTCATAAGCTGGTGTGCAGTTCCTTTTCAGGCTATTAGTTGCAACTTTAGCTTATCATCTGCCTTCCTGTATTTGTTGAGGCATAACTTAGGACTGTACTTGTGTCCAGTAGTAAATATAGATATTCAGAAAATTAGTGACAAGGTAAGCCATGGTTTAAGCAGGGATTCCTTCCTTTGTATTCTTAGTGCCTTAGAAAGCCCACCTCTGGCTTTATCTGCTCAAAACCATGGCAGTTGTGCCTGGGAAACTACAAAGGATCTGTTTTTTTATGCTTTTTCTGAGTCTTTGGTTTTTATGTACCCTGAAGGTTGTGTTGGAGCTGAGTCTACAGCTGCAGGTGCCACTTCTGTTGGTTGGTTTCTTTTCCTTCATTAGTGTGTGGTTCAATGTGACTACTTAAAAGGGAGATGCCAAAGAAAATCTAGACACTTGAAAATCTTGTCAATGAGTATAGCATTGTGATTGCCAGTAGATATACTCAGGAATACCACCCCCCATGCAGCCTCTTTAAATCATTCATGCAAGTGGCCAATTTCTCATACCATTCTTGCCTTTTGACCTTTTAACTTGGTTATATGGACTGTTTGATTCTTCACAAGGTCAGTGGTGTGGTACAACTTATTGACAGTTTTATCCAGTCATGAAATTGCTCCTCATCCAAGTGCTCTTGGTGTCTAGCACTGGACCATCTAGACTCAGCATCAGCTTATCTGAGATCATCATTCCATCTAACTACTTGCTTGAAATACTTGAGGTAATATTCCTAATCATCTTCACTATCCCCTTTAACAGTCAAAGAGTTAACTTGTTTTACATGACACTGTCATTTAATGATTATTCATGCAGATACCTTCTACCAGCTTCACCACTGTGCAGCTGAAAGGCTTTATGTGTTTGAAGGAGGCCCTCATCTTTTAAAAGTCTAGAAATGTGCTCATTCTGACAAATGTAGCATTGTTGGGAGAAATCTTATGTGCATCCTATGTTGACTTTATCTTCAGGAGGCTGCCATGGGGTGCTGTCAGAGTACATTGCCAGCTGGATAGACCTCTGACTTACCCAAAGAATTGATGGATTGGAGCAAGATGCTGACTACTCTGCCTGATAGCATTGCAGCTCTTCAAAGTGAACTTCATCAACCTCACATACCTTACTACTGTTTTTGCCATGGGTGACTCAAGCAAATGATTTCTTATTGCTGGGTTTGTTACTGAGCATCTTGGAGTCTCATACAGAGCACCCCAGTAAGTCTTTGTACTTTCCAGCTTCATGACACTACCATGACCTGTCTTTGCTATCCTACGTTTCTGAATAAATAAGGTGACAAGTAGATTTCATGTAATAACACTCTAGGTTTTCATAACTGTCTTTCAACGTTTCTGAATTGAAGATGGATTGAGAACAGAATCATAGTTCTCACTGCTGCTGGCAAATGGTCTTTGTCTAAGAGAGTGCCTCTCCTGTTCCTTATCATATTCTTGGAATGAGTCCTGACTTCAACCATAGTCATCTCCTCTCTGCTTTACGTTTTATGTAATCTCAGAAAGTGCTATTCCATGTTAAGATTTACTGAAGTTACAATAATAGGTAATCAAACAGAAAAAGATTATTCAAAATAAACTCCCCAATTAAAATTTCCTTTGTTCTTACCAACATTAACAATCATTCCAAATAAACTAGAAGATAGAGAATCCCCACTTCATACCAACTAGTACAATTCTAAGTGTCACCCCAAAAATAAGACTTAACCCCATCACAGGGGGAGATACAGAAATGGAATCAAGCAGGGTATAAGCTTCTATGGAATAGCCATTGTAGTATATAAACTATACTTCAACTAGAAGATTAGTGGATGATTACGGCATTCATACATCCAGTTTACTGGGAAGACACTAAATGCAGAACACCTGAATGAAAAATTAGAAAAAATATATATGAATAAAAATATATACTATATGTAGAAGGTTAAAATTAGAAGTATTTTCAACTGCAATGTGACATATAGACTGCAATTTCATGTAAGTTTAGTCTTTAGGTAAACATGAAATAGTCAAGGTTCATCAGTATGTTTTAAAGATATTCTAAAATTTTACATATCTTGCCAGGATTAGACTAAATTTTCTCCAATGATGAAGTTTATTTAATAAAAAAGTTTTTCTAAGAAAATTAACATTTTGGATAATTAATAATAGCTGGTGTATATTTTGTAAACCACTGTGCTGAATCTATTTTGTCTTGATTTATAGAACTGCAGGATTTTCGAACTCGACGAGTGGCTGCCTTTAAGAAGAACTTGGTGGAATTAGCAGAACTTGAAATGAAACATGCAAAGGTTGGTATATTTCTCCCAATACATGATTGAGACTTGAAAAATACTAGAAGATTTTTAGCTTTAGCATCCAATAGTAAAATAAACTTAAAGTATTGAAAACACTACATCACAAATACAGAGTAACTATTAATTTTTCTGGCATGGTTTTTGACAAGTTTAAGTAATGTTTAAGAACTAAGTACATTATTTGCAAAACATGATGTTAATGTACTTTAAACTTTTGTTACTTCTTATTGTGTTATTTCTTTTGTGACATAAATTTTCCAACAACTGAAATTTTTAATAACAACTTGGTGGTTTTAAAGTAAAGGTTGCTAGTACATGGAAAAACAAAATTGGTTGTGCTTAAACAAGGTGTTTACAAATCTGAAAATGTCAGGGAGTTGGATAAAGGAGTCAAAAGTCATAGAAAGTTAAAAGAATATTCCAAAACATAGAAAAGTCAGGAAAAAGTTTGACACCCCCTCTACATCTCAGATTTAACGTGCACATCAAAACTAGTCAATGTGGCTATGCCAATTATTGGTATATTTTAATCTAATCGAGTCATCTTCTTTATCTTGAAAATTATCAAATTCTTCAAATACTTATAAGAATGATAGGTTTCTTATTTTTTGTGAGTGTCAAACACTTAAATACAACATTTCGATTTTCGATACCTTACTACTATAAAGGCTTGGTTTGGTCTGATATT